TATTTTAATTCATCGAAATGCTGCACCTTAAATGTTTATTATTATATTTTGTATTTGAGTAAATATTCACAGTTTAATAATAATTAAAAACCCAAAACTAAGTTTATGTTTTGTGAGTACTAGTACAGTAAAATACAAATTATTTCAGTTAATTGAAATGCTGCACCTTAAATGTTCATTTTATTGTATTTATTTGAGTGAATACCTTATTCACAGTTTAATAATAATAAAAAATATATATGTATGTTATGTTTTGTGGTGGTTTTTTTCTGCTGTACTGAAACGAACCGTGACCTAAAAACCGAGGTACGTACCGAACCGAAATTTTTGTGAACCGTTACACCCCTAGTGTATATATGAGAGAAATGGTTATTTTGTGTATATAGAAAATGTTTTAGATCTTTGAGTTAATCTCATGAAAAATGGGAGCAAAAACAGAAGTGTTGCGTTTATATTTTTGTTCAGGGTATATATACACACACACCTAACTATATATATATATATATATATCTATATCTATATCTATATCTATAGATATATATCTATATATACACATATATATATCTATATACACATATATATATCTATATATATCTATATACACATATATATCTATCTATATCTATATCTATATCTATATCTATATCTATATCTATATCTATATATATATATATATATATATATACACACCTACCTACCTACCTACCTACCTACCTACCTACCTAACTAACGTACGAAAAGTCAAGTAACTCGTTGAGATAGTTAGCATAAAAAAAGATATATATATATATATGGTAAGTTTATGTTGATGCTAATAATTTTTAAGTAAGATTTCAAAGGAATTCTACTTGTAGCAATATTACTTAATATAAAAATGGTATACTTCTTCCGTACAGAGTAATATCCTAACCTGGTTACATGGGGTTAATTATTGCAGGACATTGTAGGACCAGATGAAGTGTGTGACTGACCTCCTTGGCGCCCATGACGGTTCCAACGCCGACCGTCAGAGCCATGGTGGGGACCTTGGAGAGGTCGTTGCCAAAGAAACGGGCGTTGGCTACGATGGTGTCCTTGGCCAGCGTTTTCACTCTGGTCCTGGAAACCAGGCTGGAGCCCGGCTCGTTGAACGCTATGTGACCGTCAGGGCCGATACCTGCAGGGAGATAAGATCTGGAGATTCAGCTGAGAGACCACTCATAAAGGGACATAATTGTATATACGTTCATATTTTTTTTTAAACACTATTTTTCTTTTAATTTAACATATGTAAGTGCAGGATAGATAAATATACAATTTAAGGTATTTGTTGACGAGTACTTGTCTACAAAAACAAATTAGGGTCACATGTGAATTTATTTTTAGATCTGACCAAAAGGTCGTTTTTTTTTGGTTCTGAGATTAAAGTCAAGAGTTTTGAGAAAAAGAAAATCTGAATTTAAAATCCTAACTGACTTTTTTCTGAAAAATAAAGCTATAATTCTGAGGTTAAAATCTGACTTTCTTTCCCCCAAAAAATAGTAATACTTTGGTCTATGTCAAAAAAAAAGTTCACGTGACCCTAATTCTTTTAAATCGGCCATCGATTATTTATTTTTGTAGTAGTGTGTTGTTCATTCTCATGGAATTGTTTTTAATTGTTGATTTCCTGTTTGGCTTAATGATGGTTAAACAGAAGATCATTTTAGTTTCACTTCCATACTTGATTGTTTTTTACATGAGATATTTAGTTTGGATTGTTTTAGGTTGTTGTGTTTATATTGCTATTGTGTGGACCCCAGGAATAATAGCTAATGCCCATGCTAATGGGGAACCTAATCAAGGCGTAGAAACGAGTCTGACCTCCTACGAACAGCTCGATGCCCCCCGCCTCGCTGATCTTCTGCTCGTACGCCTGGCACTCAGCCTCCAGGTCCTCCACGTTCCCGTCCAGGACGTGAGCGTGGGCGGGATCAATGTCGATGTGCTTGAAGAAGTTGTTCCACATATAAGAGTGATAGCTCTCTGGATGAGCCCGAGGCAGGCCTGGAGAACAAGATGGATGCCCATTTTAACCAAAGAGCAATTCGGTGCAAAATGTGCAATGATTCCTGCAGATCTTCTGTTCCAACTAAAGAACAAAAGTAACTGATGTAGACGTGAGGGGCTGTCCGGCTGTGGAAGCTATCACATCTGGGATAAGGCTGAAATAAATATAGCGCTTAGCTAACTAATGAAAACTGGTCGTCTCGAGGCAACTTGGGACAAATCTGCCTACATAACATTAGCATTAGTGGAATGTACAGCAAAAAACAAGACTGAAAAGACGATGTAATACAGTTAAAATCAAATTTAAAGCGTTAAAACACTTCAAAACCAAAACACATTACACGTTGTCGAATAAACCAAGTCTAAAATTGAAAGAAAGTTGTATAATCAGCCTTTAACTCACCTACATATTCATCCATGTTGAAGGTCTTCACATATTTGAATGAAATATCTCCACTTCTGTAGTATTCTATTAACTTCTGGTAACAGCCATAGGGAGTGCTCCCTGGAAGAAATGAGAAGATCAGTACAGGCTCCGCTCAATGCTGATATAAACACAGAAACCGTTTATCAGCTCTCACCTGTAGGTAGGCCCAGGGTGAAGTACCTCTCTGCCGAGGGTTTGAACTGGATGATTCTGTTGCGGATGTATTTGGCCGCCCACTCACTGGCCAGGTCATAGTCCTCCAGAATCACCAGCCTCATTGTCGTGGCTTACTTAATGAAGAAAGTTAAGACAAAGCTTACAAAACAGTTACAGAGGCCCTGTCATGCTTTTGGGGGGTTTCCCTTTCCTGTACTATGATCTCCTGTAAATGTTCTGCAAAGGATAAAGCCCAAAGTAACCTCCAGACCTTTACCAGCTTTGCAACACTTTAATGCATCAATAATTATAAAACATAACATATATATTATTCTGAAATGGACCAATCTGCACAATGAGTACTTTCACTTTTGGTACTTTAAGTATATTTTGATGCCAATACTTTTGTACTTTTACTTTAGTAACATGTTGATTGCAGGACACTCTGGTACTTCTATTTTTACTCAAGTAGACTATCTGAGTACTTCTTCCACCTTTGGTACCCCCTCACATAATCCACATGACATTAAGGCACATTTTAAGGAGCAGATATTAGAAAAAACTCCTCCCCTCTCCAAATAGGTCTGCCTTTATAAGAGTTTGCCGTTATCTCTTGGTGAGAGACTGTGAGTAACTCTGCTGAAATGTTTTCTACTTGAGGCTAAGAGCTAATGCTAGCAAGGGAGTAAACAACAGGAGCGATTTTTAAGAGTTTAATGCACAGCAATGTCACTCAGCTCATTTAAAAATGCTCGTTAAAAAGTTATTAGCACAAACTACAGAATTCGACATTAACCCGGTTTTACCTGCTAAATCCGCTGTTTGTCAGGAGAGAATTCAGCTGTTGGAAGCAAGCACCAAGGAAGTGCGCCGGACTCTGAGGAAAGTATTTGTTGTGGCCAAATGGCGGTACTACACTTCCGTATCAGTTCCTGGACCCGGAAATACTTTTTCCCATTGACTTACATTGGGAAAGAGACGTCTGTAAATCGTTGGATAATTTATTTTAAACTAAATAAACTACCCAGTATGAACATTTGTATAGCCCTTATTAAAAACATTCGGTCCTCAAGTTGTAAAATGTGCTAATAACGTTATTTTCCTCGGCATTATGAACGCGGATCTAACCCACGGGACCGCTTCGCCCGGCACGTTCATGTAACGTGTTCAGTACTACATGAGTTGTACCTTTACCCATGGATGGATGCACAATAAGAACGGATTATATGATTATATGAATACTTTCGTGACGTTTCGCTCTCTCAAAAGTTGGGCCATTTTGTCTTCATGCGCCAATGAGCAACTCTCATAGGAATGAACGAGGCCCCGCCTAGACGCTTGTTTCATTACGTGAAAAACTCCCGGTCGCGTCTATCGTTATTCCAACCCAGTTTAGATTTAACCGCGCCCACTTCCGCATTACGCAAGGATCGACGTAGCTCTACGTAGACACGGCACACCCGCGAAATCTGAATCTGACAATGAATCT